GAAATCTAAGGCATGAAGTCACCCCTATTATATTCAGTGTGGAAAGTGTAACCTTGAGTTGCAGCCTTGGCGGCTCCAGAATTAGGAAGCTATAATACGAGATTCCACCTTTCTACCCTTCTTTGAATCTTTAGAGAAGGGGGAGACATTCAAAGGCAGGCTGAGGGCTAGTAGCGTGCCCCTCACAATTTTGTATTCAATCCAGTTTAACCCATCATGATTGCAATTAACACAGAGTGAGAGTAATGAGTGCTCTCTCTCTTCCCTAGTCATTGAGGTTATACTCTGGGTTAATCAATTTCTCATTTGTACTTCTATGTACAAAAGACTGCCAACCTTTAAACACAATCTATTGATTGATCACCCAGAGCATTTGTGGCTGATGAGGCTATGTGTCTTGCCACCTGTGTTGCCAGGGGCAAGATGCCCAGTCCCAGAGCACCACCACTTCTGAGTACTTCGTACTGATAATCATCTGCTGTTAAGTCCATTATGATTTATGGTGACCCTTTTCAGGGTTTTCTAGGTAGAGAATATGCAGAAGCTGTTTACCAATGCAGTAATAACTTGAAGCCAACACGGATTTGTCAAGAAAAGATCCTGCAAAACTAATTTGATCTTGTTTTTTTGGTCTGGTCACCTCCCTGATAGACAAAGGGAATGCTGTAGATGCAGTATATCTTGACTTCAGCAAAGCTTTTGACAAAGTGCACCATGAGATCCTGATTAGCAAGCTAACTAGCTGTGGGCTGGATAGATCAAGTGTCAGGTGGATACACAATTAGCTACAGAATCATACTCAGAGGGTGATGATGAATGGGTCCTTCTCTAACTGGAGGAGGTCACAAGTGGGGTACCCCAAGAATCAGTCAGCTCTTCAATATTTTTATTAATGACTTGGATGAGGGAGTGCAGGGAATCCTTGTCAAATTTGCAGATGATACCAAATTGGGCAGAATAGCTAACACCCTAGAAGACAGAAACAAAATTCAAAATGTCCTTGATAGGATGGAACACTGGGCTGAAAGCAACAGAATGAAATTTAACAGGGATAAGTACAAAATTCCGAAGTGCACCTTGGAAAAAGAAACCAATTGCACAGTTACAAGATGGGAGATACCTGCCTCAGCAAAACTATGAGCGAGAAGGATCTTGGAATTGTTGTAGAGCACAAGCCAAATATGAGCCAACAGTGTGATGTGGCTATTTTGTTGTTGTTTTTTAGTTCTTTAGTCATGTCTGACTCTTCGTGACCCCATGGACCAGAGCACGCCAGGCCCTCCTGTCTTCCACTGCCTCCCAGGGTTGGATCAAATTCATGTTGGTAGCTTGGGAGACACTATCTCATCCTCTGTCGTCCCCTTCTCCTCTTGCCTTCACACTTTCCCAACACCAGGATCTTTTCCAGGGAGTCTTCTCATGAGATGGCCAAAGTACTGGAGCCTCAGCTTCATGACCTGTCCTTCCAGTGAGCACTTAGGGTTGATTTCCTTCAGAATGGATAGGTTTGTTCTCCTTGCACTTCAGGGGACGTTCAAGAGCCTCCTCCAGCACCACAATTCAAAAGCATCAATTCTTCGGCGGTCAGCTTTCTTTATGTTCCAGCTCTCGCTTCCATACATCACTACAGGAAAAACCATAGCTTTGACTATGCACACTTTTGTCGGCAGGGTGATGTCTCTGCTTTTTAAGATGCTGTCAAGGTTTGTCATCACTTTCCTCCCAAGAAGCAGGCATCTTTTAATTT